ACTTTGACACCAGTTTTCAGACAGTCCCTGGTAGGGATGCCGATTGTGCAGAAAGGTGTGTTTGTTGACCAACGTGTTCAGTAAATGTCCTTTCATAGCTAAAGCATGCTATATAAAAGCAGCCATTTACTCTGAAGAGTTGTCCCCTAAAACCATAAAGTCCATGTAGTCCGTCTTGGGTGGGGTGGTGGTTGGTAGGTTTCCATAGAGGTCAGGGATAATATCAGGGAAGTGTCATCCTCTGAAAGAGACTGGTGAAAGTCATCACAGTCAATAAGTTGCCATTTCAGTCCTACCTCATCCTAGTAGACTGTAATATGGAGGACCTGTATCTAGTCGATCAAGATCATTCTGATGTAACCAATTGCACTGTGATATGTCAGGGATGACATCACAGTGTTTGCTGTCATTGAGACCATAGGGAAACGTGTGAATAAAAAGCTGCTAATACATACCCATTACTGTTCAAGGGAGACAATATTATGGTTTTAAATATCTCATGCATTTTGGTATGATATATTCCTACTATGATAGAAAAATCCATTTAGAGATTCCCAAAATGGGTTGTAATTCTAGGCACCCAGCTGAACTATGGACCCCAAACTTCCTTTACAAAATACGCTTTGCTAGGAGAGAGTGACTGAAACAACAGATGGTTTACTCTTTTTTCCCAGGAAGGCAAAGATCAACAGCTTTTCAGTTATATTTTTCTCACAGATTCTAATAGCACTGTAGATGCCCCCCACAATGAAATCCCTATCAATTGCATTTAAGTGCAATTATAAACCTCCCATTGTAAAAGAATAAATTAAGACTTTCATTAAATGAATTATTTTATTGGAGTCTGATCCATGTTTTGGTGAAATTAGAATATTAAATTCAAGAGCCTATAAAACTAAAGCCCACCCTCTAGACCCTCTTTGAATCCATTGAGACATTAGCTCCTCCGTTTCAGACTTTGATGTGAACAAGTGTCAGTCAATTATAGCCTACTAAGTATTATGGATAGACTTGCATATTATATGAATCTTAATGGTACAGAAGTACAGTGATATGGATGAGAAATTCATAGCTCACATCAGAATAAAAAAAGAAAAGACAGATTTCAATAGAAAAGAAAATGTCTTACTTGGTTAAGAATGTCTTGTTTCTGTGCATGCAAGGAAAGAAAGAATACATGTGTTAATGTAAGGTAATTTATACTCATTATCTCATATTGCTGACAAACTAAAAGGCCAATTTTACAGATTGATTTTAAAACATACCCTAGATCCATGGGTCTCAAAATGTGGTCCTGAAACAGCATCATTATCATAAACTGTGAAACTGATAGAAATATACATTTTTGAGCCTTACCCCAGAAACACAGAAACTGAGAGGGTAGGGGAACAGGCAGAAACCTGTGTTTTAAGAAGACCCACAGGTGATTCTGATACAAGCTAAAATTTGAGAATCACTTACTAGGTCAATCTTTGAGTGTAATAAGCAAATAGTTCTAACTGATATGAGATAAATATAATGAACAACACATATAAGATTTTTAAAACCTTCCAGAGAAAATTATGAAAATATAACAGCATTATAAATATATATTAGATTATGAATACTTATTTCTCACTCCTAATGTTTCCATCTTTTGGAATAACATGTTTGACTAGCCCATTGCAATGCCTTTAAAGAAAAATATCTTCCCATACATATAGTACTACTTATTTTTTCCCATGTTTTTAAACATCAGTGGAACAATATAGAATTGAATTTGAAATCCAGGAGGGAAAAAGATACACACACACACACACACACACACACACACACACAACACACACACACACACACACAATTACTTATTCTATAATATTCTATGTATATTTTACATACATATAAAATGCAATGCCAAACTGGTTCTTTCTCATATTATCAAATTCCGTTACTTTCATGAATCATTTATATCTGAGATATGCTGACGATATTCACTGTGAGTCTTCTCACTGAGTTTGGATGGCTACTAAAAACTAGCTATAATCATACTCTTAACATTATATCATTCATATAAGATTAGTTGGAGACTAATAAGAATCTCTTACCTTATTAGGTGTGAGTTAGTAGTAATTACATGCATGGGAATATGCCATACTCATTACATAAGAAATGCCATTCAATGTACGTGACATACCTTTCTTTTCCCCTTATTCTCATCTCCCACAACCTTCCTTTTCATTTTATGGCCAGTCAACAAAGTGAAGAAGAAAGGGCATTAATCTTAATCTGGGATTCCAGATAATTAGGTTTTAATTACGGCTCTTATCATGAAACTAGCTTGTGAATCTTGAGAAAGTAATTTTAGTTTTCTTATAATGACTTTATCTAAAAACTTAATAATCTTATCTGTTAAGGAAACGTAAGACCTTTTTAAAATTTTTGCTCTTAGGGAATCTTTAGTGCCATTGTTTAGAATAATATATTTTTTTGATTTGGTTATTTTTTTTTCAAAGAGTGATTGTTACATGATCTTTAAAAGACACAAATTAAAAATAATTGATTCATCTGTATATTGCAGTTAGTATTTATTCTCCATTAGATTCATCCATATATTGCAATTAGTATTTCTTCTCCATTAAAATACTCTTAAACAGGTCACATATTCATTATAGTAAGCCTTTATACAAAGATTTAGAATTCAGTAATTAAAAGAGTGATAAGAAATACAGTGCACCTACCATATAAGCAGCTTTAAAAGAGGAGAAGCAAGTAAGAGATATTTAGGCTGTTCTTTCTTTGTTTCTTTGCAAATATCTTTTATATGGATGACATAAGCAATGTTCATTTTAGAAAACAAAGGATTAATTATTTATTCTAAAAGTAGTGTAGATGAAATATTTTTTTCTAAATTTTCTTGTATAAGGGGGCATCAATTAAGTAGTCATCTGTGGCAAAGAACTTTAGGATTAACCTGTCCAGTCAATAGAGAGTGATAACTTCCCATGTGAATTCTGCATACTGTTATAGTAACCTTTCAGAAACTGGATGAAGTCATGTTCTGAAGAGAACCTCAAGGCTTTAAAGATTTCTTTTTCAACATTAAATATTCCTAATTACCTCCTATTGGCTTTTGTAAAATACATACTAGTGTTTAAGAGTCATATAAACTTTATTTTTTTTCCTGAAGGGAAAACACCTATCAATGTTAGATTAGGAGTAGTTTTGCTTTTAAATTAGAATTACTTTGGGGTCATAATGAGATCTAACTTTTTGTTTTTCAACAATTCATTATTTTAATAATGCATTTCAAGAGCAGATCTGCACATTTATGGAGAATTATTACATTACTGAATAGGCTGACATCATATGGGTGTCTAAGAATGAATCTAGTAATTACCTCAATAAATCCAGTATACAGTGACTGATAATCCTCATGAAAAATATAATAGTAAGACTAAGTCTGGAGAGTCTTTTAAATAAGAAATCATTGAAGCAAAAAGGCTATTTTGCAAACAAAATTACATTCCAACTTAATTTATAGCTACCAGCTATCTTTAGGGAGAAAAACAAACCTAGTTTTATCTATGTATATAGATTAGATAACATGTACATTTTCAAGCATGGTCAGAAATGTAAATATTAATGACACTTTTGGGCCTTACAGTAATTCTGTACAGTTGTCATCTTAGCTTTCCCACTCTGCTGTTATGGTCTTTGAGATTTTCAGTTCTACAAACTTTTCTGCCAACATTTTCTTTCTCATACTATAGCATCCAGGAAAATAAAATCTGAGGGAAATGTACGCTGGATATCTGCTTTTGTTCCTAGGACTGGAAAATGGGAATGGCTTTAAACTGCCTTATTTTCCCCATCATTGGTAGGCTGTAAATATTAACTTACTTGAAAAAGAAAACAAATCTTAGATTAAAGACCTTCACAAGCTACAGTAATGTATCAGAATATAGACAAAATAAGAAAATATGACATGAAAAAAAGCTATGGGAAATACTGAAAGGAAATTATAAAACAATATGAATTAAGGTTAGAATATATAGATTTGGTTTTGACTAAAACGCAAATTCTATAAATCCCTAAGAAAAGTAATATTGAAGGAAAACTAGGAACTGTGCTCTTATAAACATTCAAAACTGTAATGACAATGATAACAAAAAACAAATCGCAGTTAAATCAGCAAACAAATCTATCTAGCTGGCTAAATAATTCATCCAGGGGAAAGGGCCTTTTCCAAAGGGTAATTTGTTTTATCTCCCATACAACACAACTATCATTCAGAGAAACTGCAAAAGAACTCACAGCAAAGGTGCCCAAACACTTAAATGTAGCATCACTCAGGTAGCATTAAAAGGAAGGTTATTTAACAAGTAATTAGGAAAGGAAAGACATTCATTCAAGCAAGGTGTCCAAAAGCAATCGACAGGACATGAAGTTTTTACAAGGAAGGAATTTCAGGGACTTGTCAGCTTACTGGCAGTAGGTTAAAACAAGATAGGGTGAAGAAATTCCTCTTTTTTACCCAAAGTGGCTTTTTAAAATTACTAAAGAAAGAAAATCTTTCTTTAGTCAAGGGAATCATTCTCTGAAAGGAGTAACTCTCCTGCCCCCAACGAATTTTGATCTGGGGTTAAAACCTGTAGGTCACAGAGTGAGCGGCAAGCACACTTTGTCTTCCCTTCTATCTAATCCTGACCTGATCCTACCTGAGCAAGCCAATTCAGAATTGCAGTATCTTTAACATCTAGGGAAAGAACCTAAGACCATATTAGAGATGACCTATACTCCTTCAAGCACCCAATATAGAAATGTTATTTTCATCTGCAAACGTTTTTTGAATGAAAAAAGTAGTACACTATTTTACATATTTTCCAAAACAGCATTTCATTATGAATTTTATTTCATTTATGGTATGGTATATGGTACATATATTTCCAAGGACTCTTCATTGAGAAACCCCTTCTCCAATCATATATATGAAACTGATATAAATGAAAAAAAAGTTTTACCCCTTCAGGATTATACTTTGCAAGCACACCATTACCATGGAATTCTTCAAGAACATCCTTTAATTTCTTTGTGGAATCTATAAAGAAATAGAGAACACACAAATTGTTTATAGATGCCTATTGTGGTTAAATAACCCAGTTCAGAAACAAAGACCCATTAAAATATAATCACCAACACATATTCAGTTTTAAAATGAACATGTGAAACGTTCTTTATCACTTTCGAAAGGCTATTTGGTTGAAAAAAGCAATCACACACAAAAAAGAAAGGGACAGAAATACTGTTTTCCAAGTGTATTGCCAAAGAATAAGGCCATTACCTATGTACTACATAAATTAATGAGCAAACATATAAAAAAGTAGCATCTCTTCTCTTTATTTTGATAGCATAACATCTAAATGAATGAAATAAGCTTAGTTTAAAAAGAAAATATAGGAGGTGCCTGAGAGGCTCAGTCGGTTAAGCCTCCAACTTTTCATTTTGGTTCAGGTTATGATCTCAAGGTCATGAGATCAAGTTCCGTGCTGAGCTTAGGGCCTGCTTGGGATTCTCTCTCTCCCTCTCTTTCTTCCCCTCCCCCATTTGTGCACACACTCACTCTGTCTCTCTCTCTCAAAATAAATAAATAAACATTTAAAAAAGAAAAAAAGTAAACATAGGCATTTGTTATTGAACTTTATAATTAACACAGTACATTTTACATATTTTACTCCATTAGCAAAGAATAACCCTGCTGGACAAATAAACACAATGAAATATGTAGTTAAGCCTCAGTGGTGAATCCAGTCAGAGGCAAGGTACACATTGTAGTATTTTGCAGATGGTTTTATAAGGAATTTTCTAAATATACACAAAGAACAAACTAAAGCTTAATTCAATTAAGAAACCAAGTTTTGGGAAAAAAAATTAAGAAACAAAGTTGAGGAAGTATCTCTCTACTTGCCAGAAGGGATGCTGCCCCATTGAGGAAGCGTTCAATGAAAAGCTACTTACAGCTCCAAATTTAAAAAGCACACGAAAAAAGTTTAGGGGCACCTGGGTGGCTCAGTTGGTTTAGTGTCCAACTTTGGCTCAGGTCATGCTCTCACAGTCCATGAGTTTGAGCCCCTCATCAGGCTCTCTGTCAGCACAGAGACTGCTTCAGATCTTCTTCCTCCCTCTCTCTCTCTGCCCCTCCCTCACTGGTTCTCTTTCTCTCTTTCTCTCAGAATAAATAAACTTAAAAAAAAAAGTTTAGGTGCACCTGGCAGGGCTCAATCAGTTAAACATCCGACTCTTGGTTTCAGCTGAGGCCATGACCTCAAGGTTTATGAGATGGAGCCCATGTTGGGTTGGGCTCCATACTGACAGTGCGGAGTCTGCTTGGGATTCTTTCTTTCCCTCTCTCTCTTCCACTCCCCAGCTTACTCTCTGTCTCTCTCAAAATAAATAAAAGGTTTTTAAATAAACCTTTTTAAAAAGGTTTAGATATGTTACCAAAATAATTTTGAATTGCTTTTTCAATTTTTAAATATTTTGAAATATTTTTAGGATGTTCATCATACTAAGATTGTGACAAAAGAATCCTGAGTTAATATGGAAATAATGTCATGAAAGAAAATAAATGTTAGAAAAATATAAATAAGTAGAATATAAATATATGCAATCAATCTACTAATACAATGCTCTCATAGTTATCAAAATATAATTTTGATAAAGCAATCTAAGACTTACAATATACTTAACTTAGAGAAAACTAACCATTAATACTGATAAGCCATCTAAACATTCAATCAAGTTTGATTAATAGTGATAAAACAAGGCTGAAACTGAAATGTGGGAAATAAGCAGAAGCTGTTTAGTTTTCCACTGGGGAAGAGGGTATGGTCCTAGCATTTGAATATCATCCTCCTTTCATTTCCCCAAGATTCAGTGATGTTTGTAACATAAAATAATTCCCAGTTCCAAAAATACTAATTTACAAATGAGCTTTTGAGGCATCCTGCCAGAAAATTAATTCTTAGATCCCCATCAAGTGAATCATGTCTGTATTTTGTGAATTATACTTTCATTTAGAGTGTGCAATTTTGTTTATGTTGTAAGTTCTGTGAGGTTTTTTGTGTGACTGTATTGTTTTTATATTATTAAAAATTCCACATAACATAGATTCTATGTTGACCATTTTAAACTATACAAATCAGTGGGTTTTTAAAATGTATTCACACTGCGGTGCAACCATCACCCTACATAATTCCAAAATATTTTCATCACCCCAAAAACAACCTCCATATTCTGGACATTCCATAAAAATGGAATTATATAATTTGTTGTCTTTGTTTGGCTTCTTTTACTTCAAGGTTCACATATGCTATAGTATGTGTCTGTACTTTATTCCTTTTTATAGCTAAAAAATATTCCATTTTATGGATATACCACATGTTGTTTATCCAGTCATAGTCTCATGTACATTTGAGTTGTTTCCATGTTTCAGTTATTATGAAGAATGCCACTATGAACAAACATTCAAGCATACATGATTTTGTGTAAATACATATTTTAATTCTCAGGGGTATACACTGAAGAGGAGAACTGCTAGGTCATACGGAAACTCCATGTGGAACATTTGGTGGAACTGCCAAACAGATTTTCACAGGGCTATCCTACTTCACATTCCTATCAATAATGTATAAGAATTCTAATTTCTCTACATCTTTGCTATACTTTCCTAGTTTTTTTTTTAATTATTATCAGAGCTACCTTAAAGGGAATGAAATGCTTTTGATTTGTATTTCATTAGTTATTTGTTAATGGCTAATGATGTTCAACATCTTTTCATTTTTAAAAAAAAATTAAAAATGTTTATTTATTTTTGAGAGAGACAGACAGAGAGAGTGTGAGTGGGGAAGGAGCAAAGAGAGAGGAAGACACAGAATTTGAAGCAGGCTCCAGGCTCTGAGCTGTCAGCACAGAGCCCTATGTGAGGCTCGAACTCATAGACTGCAAGATTGTGACCTGAGCCAAAGTCAGATGCTTAACAGACAGAGCCCCCCAGGTGCCCCTGAACATCTTTTCAAATGCTTATTGGCCATATGTATATCTTTTTTGAAGAGATGTCTATTCAAGTCTTTTGACTATTTTTTAACTGGGTTGTTTATCTTTTTGCTGTTGAGATTGGTGTGTGTGTGTGTGTGTGTGTGTGTGTGTGTGTGTGTGTGTGGTGTAACATGTTTGAAGACTGTTACACTTTCCTATATATTTCTTTTTCAGTATATATTTTGCTACCACTTTCTGTACTGTGATCAGAGTTAATTTGTTACGTCTTGCTTCCTGCTAGATTGTAGGTTGCTCTGGGGAAGAAAATGTACATTTTATTTTTACATAGCACTCAAATTTATTACAAAGATGAAGTAATGAAATTGCAATAAATATTGTGATTCAATTGATCAAAGCTATTTCTTAATTAAAACAAATTACAGTAATTACTTTGACATTTACCTTGGCAGAAACTTAAAACTACTTTAGAGACCAGGTTCTATATTAAAGAGAGAGATGAGGGGCACCCGGGTGGCTCAGTCAGTTAACTGTCTGACTTTTCATTGTAGCTCAGGTCATGATCTCCCAGTTAATGAGTCTGAGCCCAGCATTGGCTTCTCCACTGACAGTGCAGAGTCTGCTTGGGGTTCTCATTTTCTCTCTCTTTCTCTCTGCTCCTCTGCCACTAGTGTCGTCTCCCTTTCTCTCTATCTCTCTCCCTTTCTCTCAAAATAAATGAATAAACTTTAAAAAAACTAAAGAGAGACATGAAGCTGAATCTTTTGTCCCAAATCCTTCTTTGTCAATAATAAGGCATTAGTGTAACTTAGCAGAAAACTTTTACATCTTCTAATTTATATATGTAGATGCAGATACTTCTGTATACAACTACATAGACGTACACATTTCTAGATTCACAAATTTTGGAATAAGATATCCCAAGGACTCTGGCTATTTTAACCATATCTGAGCCCCATGATAAAATGAAAGGGGGAGGAGAAAATTTGCTTTCTTATACCTAGGCTTTCCGAAGAACGTTAAAGACATTGCCTAAAGATAGACTTTTCATTTCAGGTTTCCATAGGAGTAACCCCCCCCCCGACACACACACACACACGCACACACACACACGCACACACACACACACACACACACACACACACACACACACACACAAACACTCAGTAATCATTTATGAATGCTCCAGAGAGGGCAATAGTCCTTAAAATTATTCATGTCATTTTTTAGGATTTTCTTGGTCATAGTTTATATTAGAATAATCTTAGTGGGAGACCACTAGGAATAAATTTAACAAATTAAGAGGCAAAATCTCTGTGTTTCAATGAATGATCCTGCTCAGGGACAATTTAACAAGCACTGACTCATATTTAGATCAATCACCATTCACTCCATTTACCCCCTTTTCAATGGTCAAATTTCATTTTTAATCTTGATATCTAAGGTATATTCATGATCCAATCTCCACTTCACAATCTAGTTTAGGAACTGGAAAATTATCTTGTTGTTCTATTCTAGTCCCAATAGCCTCTCTTGGGCCCAGTCTCTTGACCACTGAGGCTTTGACTTACCCAGCCAATATTCTATAGATTAAGATTCTCGTATGAAACATCAAAGGGCTCCAGATATCCTGACTTGGTCCCCTAACCTTTAATCAGAATTGCCTTATATGAACAGTCTACATATCTATGTGGATTCCCAAACTGCAGTAGATTGTAAAGATCCTGCTGTTGTGTTCTACCGACCTTCAAAGGCGAAACATCACTTACTTATTTTATAATTCTGCTGCTTTTCTGGATTTGCTCCTATTACTTGTCACCATAAACATTCCTACCTTTCTAATTCTGTCAACTCTAAATCACATCTGTTCAAACAGCACTGGGGTGGTGGAGAGGAGAAAGGACACATAACTTAATCTGACCTACTCTCTAGTATAAGACAGACATAAAGTAAGTGATGCCTGGGTGAATAGATGGTTAGTGAAAGACATAATCTCAATCACATTTCAGCTAATATTGGAGCTTCAAATAAGAGAGCACAGTGACA